TAATTTCCCCCCCTTTGTTTTCCGGGGGGGGAAAGGGCCACCCTCCTCCTTCTCCCCCTCGAAAAGGGGACCGGCCCCAAAGTTGGTGGTAAAGACCAAAAATTCCCTGAAAATGTTGGGGCCCCCCCCCCCCCCCCCCCCCCCCTTCCCCCCCGGTCTAAATGACGCACGCGCGCTCCCTCTCGAAATCGCCAATCCCCACAGGCGGCCAAGCTGCCCAGGGAGAAGCGGAACCGGCTGTGGGCGCTGGGTAAGCCGGAGCGAGGCTACCTGTACCTGTCCCTCACGGCCACGGCCTTCTCAGGGGCGATGTTCCCCGTCTTCTCCCTCATGCTGTCCACGATCATCACCTTCTTCTACCTACGCGACCCCGACGAGCTGGAGCGGAAGGTATGTGCTTGCGGCTTATTCCTAGAAAGTTCCGTGTCTCTCTGCTCGATTTCTTGATACGGCATGACTCGAATGTTGCGGGCGGACGCGCTCGTGCCGGTGTGGCGTGGACACCCCCGTTTCTGATCGTTTTCTCTTATCTTCTCCTTGGTTGTGTTGTATCTTCTGGTACCTGTTCGGGTGTTGACAAGAAAGCTTGTGTAGGGGGAGGCCGTTCCAAGCTATTATAGTGACCAAGGTCGGTGGTGTGACGCCCATGGGCGCGGAAAGAAGGGGGGTACATGGTGGGCGCGGCACTCGTTAGTCTTGGTGAATTAATTCTTCATGAGGACAGACCAACAAACCGCCACGCGCATCTACGTTCGGACTCCTCCCCACCCTAATGTGGTTCTTGTTCTCGTCTGCTGTTTCGCGGAAACGAGCAAGGATCGGAGGTATGAACCAACCCTATTGGCCGACCTTGCTTTCGTTGAATCGCCGGTGGTTGTGGTTGCACCGCTCCCGATGTCATCCCGAATGATGTGGCAAGACTACGCTATGGCTGCCCTGTCCTGACCCTCCCCCACACGCGCGCAAAAGGCGGGAAGTGATGCCGATAGGATAGATGCGCTAGGGAAACCATTTTTGAGCCACGTTTGGCAAAATACAGTAGGAAGGAACGGTTGGCCACCGGTGATCGGTCCTGTGGGAACAATGCTCTGTCCTCTCCAGAGGACGTGTGGTCAATAGACTAACCGTTAAGGCGTAAAAAACATGAGTAACCCCCTCCCCGCGATGGTCTAACGTCTACGGCATGCACGACTATGAGTACACCCGCCCCCCGCGCGCGGTCTCTCCCTATCTGCAGGCCTCCCTCTGGTCCCTCATGTTCGTGGTGCTGGCGACCGTGATCGGGTGCGCGTACTACGTGCAGGTGTCAAGCATGACGCAGATAGGCGCCCGCCTCACCTCCCGCCTTCAGAACATGACCTTCAAAGGCGAGCAAGCGTTGGTTGTTTTGGGTTTTAGCAGAGTTTCAAAGGCACTATCTACTTCTTCACTTCCATTTTTTCAAGAGCGTAAACCGGGTGTATGCAATGGTACTCTTATTTTTTTTGTTTTCTTTCCCATGTGTTGTGGCGCCAGTCTAGGCAATTCGGTATGGATTCTGGCGCAGCTGGAGGGTCGCACAGGAGAAAGACAAAGAGCACGGAGTTACGTTCTGCCCACCGAATGATTCCGCCCCCCGCCCCCCGCCCCCCCCCGCCTTCGTTTCATTATTTTCTTTCGTTTTTTTGTTCATCCGGATTATTGTGGCAGGTATCGTCCGGCAAGATGTGGAGTGGTTCGATCGAGAGGAGAATTCGACCGGCGCTCTCACGGCCCGCCTTGCCACAGAGGTCACCCTTGTGAAGAACATCACCGGTCTCAACCTCAACAGGTACGTATACGGACCTGTTTGTCTGCCGTGCCAGCATGTACTCCATGACCGAGAGCTATGTATGCGTGCGTTAGCTGTGTGTTTGGACAAGCAGAGTGGTTGATCGATCGATCATCTGTTATTTTTTCTTTCCAGTCGCGCGTTATGAGGTAGGGCGCCTTACTCTGTGTCGTGGCTGATATGGTCGATGCGCGGCAGAGAACAACGAGGTGTACATGTACGTTCGTTTGGCGCACTGTTGTAATAACTTGTCGCTGCGACTGCTCTGAATCCGCGGTACGATGCGGAGAAGAGACCTAAGGGGTGGTGCTTTGGGGAACGTATCTCGAGAGAGCTGTCACGACAAGCGCGCAAAATACCGCTCTCAGTTTGTCTCGCCCTTTCATGTCCTTTTTTTTTGTTTTTTGTGGACGGAAGCGGTGTGTATTAGTCCTTCGGCATGAGCGATCTATTCCCCGGCGCTTTGCGGCTTTCGTAACGCCAGATAACCCCCCGCTCAACTATGATGTTTTGTGTTGGGTTGTAAGCGCTTGTAAATGGTCGCTGACGGAATGGTGTGCTGGGCACGCCCATCTTACACACAATGTCTCTCTTCGCATTTACTACTCTCCTTTGCTCACCCCCCGCCGCCCCCACCCCCCTCCGCTTGCGGTTCGCGTCGCCCCGCTGGCGTTGCTCGGGCTTTGTTTTGGAGCAGGATGTACCAGAACTTGATCACGATCACGACGGCCTTCCTGGTGGCCTTCATCTTCGGCTCCTTGGTGTTGTCGCTCGTGCTGGCCTTCATCATGCCTCTTCTCATTTTCGCCGGCTTCATTCAGGTCCGTCTGTCTGTCTATCTGTCTGTCTGTCTGTCTGTCTGTCTGTTTGTCTATCTTCGAGTTTATCTTCGAGTTTATCTGTCCCTCTTATCTCTGCATTTCTGCCTTCTGTTGTGTTAGGTATCTGTTGTGTCTGTTGCGTCTGTTGTGTCTGTTGAGAGAGGGGGGGTCTAGCGTCGCCTCAAGCGTCAACATTGTCACAGTCTGTTGCATGCCTCCACGACCGGCACCATGTTTCCATCCGCACCTGGGTCTAGTTTGTATCCCGTACGGTATCAAGAAATGTATCCTCTCTGTACAGAATTAAACGTTTCGGTCTACGCACATAACATGGCATTCACCACTTGAGGGTCTCTGGTGCATTCTTTGTCGCGGCGCCTCGTTTCTCCAAGGTTGTGGGTTATTCACCTATTGTCATCGTTGTTGGTTCCCCTGCCATGTTGTTTTCATCTGTGGTGTGTCGTGTTGCAAAACAGGTGAAGGTGGTTACCACCAGTGCAACGAAGAGCCAGGATTCTGTCGCCAAGGCCGGAAAGGTGAGAAGTTGTGCTGTACCCCCCCTCTCCGCACGGGCAAGAGGTATCTGTCTTCGACGCAGGATATCTTGGAAAAGACATGCGTCATGGGTCGGATGACGCGTTCCAGTTCATTTTGATTTTCGTATCCATTTTTGCGTGAACAGATCGTTACCAGGGAGCGTGTACAAGGGATGATCGTTCATCTCGCCGGTGTATTTTTGTAGACTCAAGAGTGTTTTCCGCGGCTTGTGTGTGGAATTTCTAGTTGTTCCCCCTCGCTCTCACACAAGCAAGCCTGGCGGTGGCTAAGGCTTCTCCGTACGATACGTCTCTGCCGTCCCTCTGCACACACACACGCGATCTTGCGCTCCGCGTGCCCCCCCCTCTGCTAAATCTTAACCCTCCGTTTTCCGCCAGGTGGCGGTGCAAGCCATCGACGGCGTCCGCACGGTGGCCGCCTTCAACCTTACTCGCAAGGTGATGGCCATGTACAACAAGGAGCTCAAGGGGGTGCTGAGAGAAGGTCTCAAGAGGGGCGTCACCGACGGGCTGGCGCTCGGGCTGTCGCAACTTATCTCGCTGGGCGCTCTATGGCTTCGTGTTCTGGTGAGAGAGAGAGAGTGAGAGAGAGAGAGAGAGAGAGAGAGAGAGAGAGAGAGAGAGAGAGAGAGAGAGAGGAGGCGCAGAAACCTATCATTCGTTTTTTTTCACTGGCAGTTCTACTGTAGTGACTGCCGGATAGTGGCAAGAGGGAGAGAAGAGGGCGAGTAACGCGTACAGACATGACTTTCGTTTTTGCTGCTACAAGCAAGCCTGTAGAGAAAGGCAGAGACCAGGAGACACGGAGCGTAGTGCGTGGCTCTTGTCTTTTTGCTGGTGCAGGCAGTAGTGTGGTCCCTGTAATAATGGCCGCATGTTGCAGGGGGGGATTTGGTTGGCCTTGTACCGGGCACGAGGCGTTGTTGAGAGTATGGGACAGCTTGATTACGCCATCGGCGTCACGTGATTTACTCTAATCTAACACTTAACACTTAACACTGCTGTATCAGTCTTGAGCAGGGCCACCGGCCTTATCCAGGGACCACTGCTGTAGCTCGATGACAGTCGGTTGGTAGTGTGATGAGCTGACGAGGATTTGGTTAGGTTGCAAATAATAACCCTAACCCTAACCCTAACCCTAGCCCTAACCCTAACCCTAACCCTAGCCCTAACCCTAACCCTAACCCTAACCCTAAGTCAGACTAGGTCAGCCATCGAGCTATCAACATGCTGGCAGTCGGTTACGTTGGCCATGTTACACAGCTTTTTGCGAGAGAAAAAGAAGGACCGCTGTTTTGTCACCTACCTGTCCATCTATGTGGTAGTCGGGTTTTGGCGGTGTGTTTTGTGTGTGAACTGCCCGTAACAGCGAAACTCGCTCGTTGTTTTTGGTGTTTTCGATGACCGTATCGTGTGTTTGTGTTCGTCGGTCGTGGCCTTCATCCAGGTGGGGCGGACACCGAGTTGTCGATGGGAGGGAGCACTTCGACCGCATGCTCAAGAGCCTCATGGCGGTCATGATGGCATCTCAGGTATGGGCTTTGTGTTGAGCGTGTGGGTATCAACCACGCTATCCGGCTGGCACACCAACGAAAGGGCGTCAGTCTACTAACTAGCGGGATTAATATCGATGGCTGTGTGTGTCTGTTTATAGGTATAGTTAGCATCGACCGAGCTAGTTTAAGCGGCTGGCAAATGAAAATATGTCAGGCGGACAAAACAGTTTGTGTGTTGTGCTTCGTATTTAGATAGCGTCGATCGCGCTTGCCGGCTGACCAATGAGATGCCGCCAGCCACACGCCGCTTGTGTGGTTGTGTTGGCATCTCATTTGTCGGGTTTGTGTTTTGTGGTACCGTGGAGTCGATGCCTCGCCTATTTCCGCGGTCGTTTCTGAACCGTGTTGCACCATTCATTCGTTGAGTACTAAAACGCTGTGAATTCTAGTACAGTAGCCCCTTGTTGGTGTTTGGTAGCTGAAATAGTGCTAGTGTCGATGCCGTTCCCTTTTTCCGCGGTTGTGCCTCACAGCGTTTCACACCCATTTGTCGGTCGCGCTGCTGCTTTGTCGGGACGGGACGGGGCCCTTGCAGGGAGTGGGGCAGACGGCGAGCTTCCTTGGCGACTCTGCTGCTGCAAAAGCCGCCGCCGCTCGTATGTTCGCGGTCGTTGACCGCCGGCCAGCCATCGACTCGGCCGACACTGGCGGGGAGCGCTTGCCTGTCGTGAAGGGGACGATTGAGCTCAGGTGTGTGCGGTTGATGGCGGGCGTGTGTGGGACTTTGTTGTGGTTTGTTGACTGCTGCTGCTGATGATGCATGTGGAGGGCTGACCTTTTACACACACACACGGCACTACCTCATGCCTTCGCTGTGTAGGCTCTTGTGACCTCTTTGTGTAAATAGTGGATACGACGACTGCGCATACTGCCATACACCATCGCTCTTGTGCCTCAGCAAAGGCGTAGTGCTCAGATTAACGGCATGCATCATAACCCCATCCTTCTGCCCCCGGTATTTTCCCTTTCCGCGTGTGCCCCTTCCTGCCCACGGTCGCCCGTGCTGGCATGGTGGAACTGACCTTGACTTTGACCTTGCAGGAAAGTGCGGTTCCGTTACCCCGCCCGGCCTAATGCTCTGGTGTTCCGTAGCTTCAAGCTCAAGGTGGATGCGGGGACCACGGTCGCTCTGGTACGTCTAGCAATCGAACCTGTACCGTGTTCATTTCGTTGGGAATGAGTTTTTTGTTGTTGTTCGAGATGTAGGTATCCGAGGGAAAAGCGCAGCCCGGAAGAGGTGTGAGTCAATATGGTTCATTTACGGAATGTACCATATTTGTCCACGGACATGCGCAACCCAGAAAAAGGTGTGAGATAAAACCACTACCACTACTACTACCGCTGCCACTGTCATTCGCATTATATGCACCCACTCAGACTGCCAATATTTGGAAGCTCCAAATCCCGTTATATTTATTTATTTGGAAACTCCAAATCCCACTGCCGTTTTATTAGAAGCACCCACTACGGACTGCTCCAAAACTTAGGAAGCTCCAATACCCCACTGCGGCTTACGGTTGAAGCACTGCTCTAGAGAATGCACCACCATTTGAGAAACACCAACAGGCCACTTTTCTTTTCATTTGTATTGGAAAGCACCACTACAGAACGAGCGACAGCTGAGGGAAGAGCTAAGGTAGAGAGGTGACGTGACGCGGGTTTAAGTTCGATGGGGGTATGTATCTCGGAACACGCGTATCACAACAGTTGGCATACGTACGCACGCGTACTGTACCCGTCGCAACTCGCAGAACGGTGCGGACGACCAGCTGGACACGATCCTCAAGTGGAGGGTTGTTCTCAAGGGGACTAACTCACACCCCCAGCTTTGGTGGTGTTGTGAGGACGTTTTGTAATTTGAGGGATAATCAACTAATAATCAATACCAACTGTCAACAAAATCTCCTTCCTGCGTACCAAATCCCTGATAAAGTGGTGCCTTACGTCGATGTGCTTCGAGTTACTGTTGCTAATCGGGTTCTGCGCCAACTGAATAGCCCCCTGGTTATCCTCGATGTCTAGTGTACCGCCCACTGTCGCCAGCGCCGGCAGTGTAGTACCTGGCGGGAAAACGAACATCTTGTTGGCCAACAAGCTATTCTAACATCAAAGCGAACTACCAATGACAATGACAATGACAGGTTGGCGCGTCCGGCAACGGCAAGTCTACGGTGATCAACCTGCTTCTGAGGTTCTACGACCCAGAGAGAGGAGCGATTCTCATCGACGGCATGGACATCCGGTCCTTCAACGTGGCTTGGTTGCGGGGACAGATTGGGCTCGTCTCGCAGGCAAGACCATATACTCATATACTCGAGCAAGAGGTTACTCTATTTTCCGTTTTTTTTTTTTGTCTTCTCTGGCCGAAGTATTGTTTTTGCGAGACGAAACGTGACATTTTTCGTACTTTTTTCTGCGCTACGCAAGTGTTGTGTTGTGCAAGACGAAAAGAGTGTTTTTTTGTTCTTTAATGGAAGCGTTGTAGTTTGACAACAAACCCGCATCATATTTTTATCGTTCGGGACGTAAAGAGCAACCCCGGGTCATCTGGCGGCGATCCACAACAGTTGGTTCCGGTCGGCCGGGCCAACCTGCTTTCTCGCTCTTTTGCGCGGACGATGATGCGCACCATGTGCGTTCGTGAAGGCTGAGGTGTCAAACCCTGGCTACGCGAATCTCATTGTCGTGTGCATGATGAATGAGACAGCAATGTTTTTTTTGGACGAAGTTCATGCTGTCACAGGAAACTACCTGTTGGAGATAGTGCCATAGTCTTCGTTGTTTTCGTTGGCGATTGTACGAGTCAACAATGTTTCCCGCTCGTGCCCACTTCCTGTCCTTGCCCCCCCCCCCCCCCCCCCCCCCCCCCC